GGAGCCCGCAGCCCAGGCTGGTCCCAGTCCTCACTGCCCGGGCGCCACGCACACCGCCTCGCTCCGCTGGCCCCGCAGCCTGCCCGGCCGACCGAGACCAAGCCCTGTAGTAATAACGGCGTGCCCGTTTAGTGCGTGTACTCCAGATTATTCATCATTTTTCTAGAACTTATTGTCTGCGTGGTTCACAGGACACGTCTTCTTTCAGGTGCGGGGAAAGGCCATTCTAGTTTTATTTATTTTAATAACCCATCCAAAGTAGCAAAATGACCTAATTAGAATAAGACCGGGTAATAAAATATCACGAATTTAAGATCCGTAAATGGTTTCCGAACACGCCGCTGCCGCCTTTCTGTCTGCACTAGCCCGGACGACAGCGCGCAGCCGCCCCTTTGTAGCGAGGCGCTCCACCGCGTGCTGTTCACCCGCGCAGAGCCGCGCTCTACCCAGGCCTCAGCGCCGCTGCTGGAGGGGAGGTGCTCTGTTTTACTGTACTTTCTGCAGGCGTCGTTCTCCCCGTCGTTCGCCCTCACCACAGCGCCGCCTCTGTCCTACCGCCCGGTGTCTGAACCTGGAGAAACTCAGTCCCCATGTCTTTGCGTAAGTGCCAGCCCAAGATCGCGGTCAGATTCTGCTGCGTGAACCACAGCGGAGTGAGGACCCGCCCGCGTACAGTCCGAGGAGGGCCGGAGGAAGGAAGCCAGTGCCAACCAAAACACGGTGGGCAAGTTCCCCTTTCCCAACTTGGAGCGCCAAGGTCGGGCGCCTGAATCCCCGAGTGGAGTCATAGTCTCAGCCTGACAACCACGAAACCCCTGTTCCCCACGGCTCACGTCCTGGGCACCCTCGTGGCTGGCACAAGATTTCCATCCATCAGCAGACAGCAGGCGAGGGTGCTTACCTCTTTTAAGACAATGTGACTCCAAAGGGTACTTTGGCCATTGAGGTCTTGCACAGCCTGGAAAAGCGCATCTCCTGCCTGCTGTGTCCTGTAAAGAGCTGAGGAGGGGCTTCCCTTTGCCCAGTAGTAACCCTTCAACACCGAGTATGAATGCATACAACACCGAGTGTGAACGTATACGATGCCGAGTGTGAGCGTATACGCTGAGTGTGAACGCATACAACGCTGAGTGTGAACGCATACAACGCCGAGTGTGAACGTATATGACACCGAGTGTGACTGTATACAATACCAAGAGTGAATGTATACGACACTGAGTGTGAACGTATACACTGAGTGAGTGCATATGCCGAGTGTGAACGTATACAACGCCAAGTGTGAACATATATGACACTGAAAGTGAGCGTATACAACGCCGAGTGTGGACATATATGGCACTGAGTGTGAATGTATACAATACCGATTGTGAACATATATGGCACTGAGTGTGAATGTATACAACGCCGAGTGTGAATGTATACAACGCCAAGTGTGAACGCATACAACGCCGAGTGTGAATGTATACAACGCCGAGTGTGAACACATAGAATGGTGAGTGTGAACATATACAACGCCGAGTGTGGACATATATGACACCGAGTGTGAATGTTTACGAAGCCAAGTGTAAAGGTGTATTTTTAAAGTCTGATTGCAAACTTTCAATAAAAGATGTTATCTGTTGCTACAGACGATGATGCAGTGTTAAAAGAAGGCTTGGCCAGGCAATCTCACAAGGGAAGGTTCCCAGTTCAAGTCCCGACACATCACTGAGTACAGCAGGCACTTGCGTGCCTGTGATCCCATCACGCTGAAGGCTGGAGGTGGAGTTCCATGTCGAGACCCTGCTGGAGTGTGGTCCCCCTTCCCCTCTCTCACTCACTCAGGAGAAATAAACACAACACGTAAGCTGCACTGCACTTTGACGTAATCTACCTATTTTACATCTTCAGAATTATTATAAAACATATGTACATTTCTATGACATGACCTCAGAATATAAGCTTGAAATGGAAAATAAATAACATGAAAGTCTAAGATTCCTTTTTAAACTTGGGAGCCAAAATATAACATTTTAATAGTGGAGAATTTTTTTTTAAAGTGATATCTGCTTTTGCAGAACATTGGCACTGTTGAGACCGCCGTGCTCCTGAGGGGTCCCCTTTGTAAGGAAGACGGCACCCAGAGTCATCGCCATATGCCTAGGTTCTTGCTTCATCCCAGGGCGACCCCGTGGTGCCACCAAACCACTCTGGCACACAAGCTTTGCTTACAGTGAACGAAACCTGAGCAGGATGGAAATAGAAAAGGAAAGTCGTACGTCAAAGGAGAGCAGCTGCGGGATCCAAGTCACTCCTCTCTGCTTCACCTGCTGCCCGTGTGCCTACGTACCCAGGCAATCACGCATGGAAGGCACGACGGCCTTTGGGCTTTACGGTTTTGAAAGCGTGTCTGTATTAGCCAGCCTCCTTAAAAAAAATTATTTAATTTTATTTACCATTATTATATTTATTAATAATTTCTTTTTGGAATTATCTTATTTAATTTTACTCATTATTATCATTTTTCAATTTGACCAGAGAGAGCGAAAGAAAGTGAGAAAGCAAGCTACCAGGTCTGGGACTCAAACCGCTGTAGGCTGTGTGGGAGTCCAGTGCTAACCATCACATCACCTGCCAGCTCCTCATTATTATTTTTTTAAAGGTTTTGCTTTAGGGCATGTGTGCTCTCTGAAGAGAAAGAGAGTCGGAGACTGTGAGAGGAAAAGTGAGAACTCAACCCCTGAGGGGATGACCATGTTGTAATCCCTCTCCGCCATTCTCCTCCTGGGATCTCAGGCACGCACGCACTGGGTCTGGGACTTGAACCATGGTCAGCCATGTGAGAGTTCTGCAACACAACTGCTATGTCATATGCTGGCCCTCATTATTATTACTTTTTAATTTGATCCAGGCACTCACCAGAGAGAGCGGGAGATAGATAGAGAGGGAGAAAGTTAGAATGCAAACCACCAGGTCAGGGACTCAAATTGGGCTGGGTCATGTGGAAGTCCAACGCCCCAACCACCATGCCACCTACCGGCCCGGCCTTTGCACTCATTTCACACATCAGTTTTTCATTCAGCACATAGGTGGCTCCCACAACTGGCGATGTTAGATACGGATTCAGAGATGGGTATTTCTGCCTCTCGCCATACACCTGTTGCACAAAACTATTTCATGTAAGGACACAAAGGCAGAGCCACTGCCTTGCCCAAAGACAAAACACACCTAAGAGGGAAATATTTAGCAAGATTG